CAGTTGCTACCCTGGCCCTGACACCAGGTAAGTTTGGAAGAAGAGAAGGAAAAGGACTATCAGGATAGGGCTTCGGGGGTTTGTGGTAACACTGTGAATCACCTAATACAGAGGTTTTCAACCTTTTTGAGTCCACGGCTCCCTTGACCAACTACATTCTTTCTGCGGCACCCTTGTGGGGCTCATGAACCCAGTTATGTCACCCCTTGCCTGCAGAGTTGTGCCGCCCCTGGTCTCTAAGCTGCCACCACTGCCCCAGAGAGAGATGCTTCCTCACACTGCCCCACAGGGGCCTGGGAGGAGGATGCTTCCACTGAGTTGACCCATGACTTGGCTTGAGGGGCTGCCTGGACCTGGGCTCATGGTTTAGCTATCCCCAGATTAACCAAGAGCTGTAACCCGGGTTTGTATGTAGGGATGGGGATGAATGGACTGCACAGAATGAAATTGGAGGGAGGCTGGCTACAGAAAATTATCATTCTGCTCCAACTCCTGTTTTCCAAGCATGATTCATTAGTCACCCTTAAGAACTTGAAAAGGGGCAGGGAAGCTCACATCAAAAAACATTTGTGTGGATGAAATGGAAGCTATTACTCAAACCTAATTCACAAAGCAGCCGCCTATTTAATGAATAAAATATTAATAAATCCTAAGCCACCAATCATTAGGGAGGAAATGTGACATTATTTTTATATTTGTAGGGGGAAAGTGATGTTAAGAAGCATGGAACTGTATTAAAAAATGGATTTCTTGAACTCTAAAGGGGACACTGTTGAAAATGTGTTGAACTTTTAAAGCCTGAAACGGCTTGTGACCCAAATGTCTGAAGGAGAGCTTCTCTCAATGTCACAGTCTGTCTGTGCTCTGAGATCTTCCAAGGAGGCTCTTCTTTTCTGGGTACCACTTTCAAGAGGAGAATAGTTAAATGGTGACCAGAGGAGAGAGAGAGAGAGAGAGAGAGAGAGAGAGAGAGAGAGAGAGGCTTATCTGCAACGGTGTTCCTTTTACAGAATGTATCTATCTTTCTATCCATTCAATTCCATTTATGAATTGCTACCCATAAAATACCTCATAACAGTTTCACGATAAAAAGAAAACTACAAAAAAATTGTACAACCAACCAAAGCTGGTAAAAGGCACTCCCAATCACTGGGCCCCAAGTGCCAGAGATGGAATGTTTTGCCTTAGTACAACCTTGAATTCCTCTCATAGTTTTAATGGGGTTTTATAATACTGTATATATTATTATTATTATTATTATTATTATTATTATTATTATTATTATTATTTACACTACCCTGTGATCCCTTGGTAGGTAGACTAAAAGTATCCCTAACAAATCAATGTATGTCTTACTGCTTTAAAAGTTGCCTTGCATATTGGGCCTATGGAGATTTTGATCCGCCCACAAATTATCTGAAAAGGGCATCTTAGGAAATGTGAAAGAACAATAGGGCATGCATTTTTTTTTATTAATAAAATGCAACATAATAATAAACATATATTATGAGGACAAAATACAAATTGCCCACATATATATTGTATAATAAAATCTGTATCTGAGTTATAGATAAATAATAGGATTAAGCGGGTTATCACATCTTGTGACTCCCCTAAAAGAAACCCAAACCAGGGGGAAAGAATGATAACTAATTGTGATGACTGCATAATACCTACAGAATAAGAGTCAACATGTCTCTGAATACCAACCAGTAACCAGGCAACAACAGTAAAAGAGGGTTATTGCCCTGATGTCCTGCTTGCAGGCTTCCCAGAGGCATCTGGTTAACCACTGTGGGAAATGTGACACGGAATTGGATAAGCCTTCGGTCTGATCTAGCAGGGCTGTTCTTAACCATAAGAATGATTTATGTTATAATGATGTGGCTATAAAGTAGTGATAGAAGAGGGCACATCTTGGATGTATGAAGCCATTCTGTTCTGATTAATGAATTTGCCCATTATTTCTCATCTTGGAAAATAGTATGGTGGATAGCATGAATGAGTTGCTATAAGCATAAACTGCTATTGGTTTTACTCATTTTCCACTTATATTTTGCCGTTTCTCCAAGGAACACAAGGCAGTGTCTTCCATCATCCTCATAATTTGATCCTCATAATAACCCATGTGAGATAGTGATTGGCCCAAGGTAATCCAGACAGCCTTGTGGCTGAAAGGGGATTGGAACCCAGATCTTCCAGGTCCTTGTCTAGTACTCCCAACTCAGTGGCTCCCAAATCTTTCCCCTTATGGACCATTTGAAAATTACTAAAGATACTGATGATTTTTTTTTACTATTGTAGCAATTGCAGTGCGCTGTGTTAGATGCTATACGATTTTGAACTGAATGAAGCACTGGTCTGCAAACCACAGTTTGGGAAACCCCTGCTCTAACCACTACAGAACACAGTTCCTTATGAATGTGCCAGAAGTTTGTGAAATCATAGTGCTCCACTCAAAACCAATTCAAATAATCGTGTTAACATCTACTATACAGTGGGGTATTTTCTGCAGTTATTAAAAATTACCCAGTATGCAATACTACAGATAAACTCTTTTAGACACATGAGCAGAATAGTCATTTTCCACTTAACACTCATTTTATCATGTTGACCTTACCTCTGCAAGCTTTCATATTTTGGAAAGTTTTCAGTTGTGTTGGGGGAGATAATAAATTTCACAATTCTTCCCATATTCCAACTGTGTGTGTGTGTGTGTGTGTACACATCCATACTGTCCCATGGCATATTCTCCCACCCACCTCCAATTTTTCTCAGTGTTGTCTGGATTGCTCAATCATCCTTCCCAGGCTTCAAGGCTTTCTTTGTGCTTCCTTGTGGTCAGGACCTTTGGCATTCCTGAAGCTCTCCCTGACCCGATTCTGCTTTGGGCTGCATCCGGTGTGGGCTACACAAACAAAAGTTCACTTCAGCGTCAATCGAGGGAAACAAGTGCCTGAACACAAAGCAAGAGAAGTCAGGCAAATACCTTCCCAGGGCTCTCAGTTCAATCATCACAGCCGAACTCAACAAGGGAGCCCAGAGAAAGAGTTAGGAGGGGAGAGAAGAGACCTGCTTTTCTTTCATGTAAAAAAGAAAAAAGCGAGCCCAACTTACTTTATATTTTCAAGGCAACAGAACGTCAAGGAAAGTTGTGTTGCCTAAGGCTGCAATGCAGCAAGGGGATTTAAATGTAACCTCGGTGTACAGAAACAGGAAGTCCCTTAATTCATTCAATATTTCATTAGAAATCTCTTAATGCTGGTCTTATTCCTAAAGGTAAACATCTCGGAGGCTCTTCAGAGCTTGTATTTCATTATTTAATAATCTGTTCTCAGTAATACGACTCCCCAGGTTGGAACTTGCAGCCATGTCTGTCCGCATGCTGGAAATATTAGCAATCCAGGAATTGTTAAATAATTAAGTTGCTGGTGCCTGTAAGTGTTAGGGCAGGAATCACTCAACTTTTCATATTATTCCAAACAGTCAGGGAAGGATGGTGCTGCAGAAAAAGAACAATAAATATCACAGACTAAGTCTTGTCAAAGGGTTTGTGTGGAGTGTTTTAAAAAATAAATAAAAATTAAGTGGCAGATTAGTCTTACACTGCCTCATAGGAATGGGGCAGAAATCTGATTCAGCTCATATTAAAAAGCAAACCTACTTAATTTGCACTTTCTGAAACAATACACAAACCGAAACACAGCCATCCTTTTAAATTTGCACATCTCTGAATTTTGCAATGCAGTTCCCAGCCATGAAATGTGTACAAAACCATGGCTTCATATTCTGGCTTGTTCTGGAGTCATTAATAATAGTTTCCTGGTTTGGACAAAACAGGAAACTGGACTGAATGGGATATTTCTTGGTTTGGTTTGCTCGTGTGAATGGAGAAGAGAAGAAAAGTTGCATGTATGGTCAAAAGACCTGCTCATATCTTGGCTTTTCAAGCCAATATGATCAACTGAATGTGATCATGGTGTTGCCCTCCACATTCCAGACATGTGGTGTGCTTCAACATGCATTGATTCATAGACCAAGTGTGGGGAACCTCAGGATTAGGGGCCAAAGGTGACCTTCTAAGCCTCTCAATTTGGCCCTTGGGACCTAACCCTGGTCACACCTCCTTCCCAGCCAGACCCCATATTGGCCCTGCATCACAATAACCTTGGGTACTTTTGCCTGGTGTTATGTACTGAGTTGAATAGGATCTAAAATGCAGCAGTCTGATTGGTCGTAGAACAATAGGATTCAGAATGCAGCAGTCTGATTGGTCCTAGAACAATGCAGCAGTATGAGTGGTCCGCAGGAGCCACCCAATCCAGCTCCAGGTGGAAGTGAATCCGCAACCTGATTGGCCTACAGGAGAATCCTGGAATTAGCCAATCACATGCTGCCCATTGTGTAAATAATGTATATAAAGCAGATATTTGGGGGAAACTTTCATTCCTCACTACTATGAGCTGTATAAAGAGCATGAAATCCACAATCGACTCCGAGTATATGTCACCTGGCAAGGTTGCATCTTACTTCCCTGGATGGAGCATGCAGAGGTGTGTGTGTGTGTGTGTTGAAACTAGCCTACTGTATGAAGGTAAACTTGACATTCATTGCTCCACCCACTTTTGTTCCTGGCCCCACCCATCACTGGCATCTGAACCCTGGAAGGTTGGCCAGAAGAAAATGTTGTCGTAAAGCTGAGAGAGGTACCCCACTTCTATTGCAGATCTGCAAGGCTGACAGTGATCTGAATGTCTGTGCCATTGACATGGCGGGAACCTCTATATGCATATCGGACCGCAGCATTTTATTATGTTACATCCCACTTACCCTGCATATGGTGTTCCTATCAGAATGCCTGTTGCAACATACACAGAGTGAAAACAATCAATGAACGAAGAACATTCCTGCAGTGACCATTTTTGGTCAAGAAATGTGTGTGGTCACTCTGGGGCTGCTCTCTGTGCTCCTTCGAGGAATTCAGCAGTTTCCATTGGCAATGAAAAGAACCGCTGCGACAGCTGCAGAGGCAGATCCAGAAGTCCTTTAATTTAAAGTCTGTGGGCATAGACACCCGATCAAATTTGCCAGCAAGGGCTTGAGAAAGAACAAGACGTACAGAGACAGGTACTCATAAAGGACATTCTTCATTGGAACTAATAGGCAAATTAGCCAATTCCTCTTTTAAAGTTGTATGGTACAATTGCCTCGAGACATCATTTAAATCCGTTATGGGTTTTCTCATGTTGCAACAATTTCAATTGTTCTTTGAGGGTGGGGAAGGGTTGGGGGGGGAGCCTGTTTCGGGTGCTTATAAGAATCTACTCAATAGTTCTACAAACTTTGCTGGGCATCATTAAAAGTAGAAACTAATGCAACATGCCAGGCTCTGGACTATTATAAATCAGTTGGCACCAGCATTCTTGACATTAAATCCCTTTTCTTCTCTCTGACTCCAGTTACTAATTATACTGTACCAATAATAGGGGGAGGAAATCCATCATTAACTTTCAGTATTGAAAAATATTCCAACAGCAGCTCTGCTGTACAATATTTGTTGTATAATATTCCAAGAAAGCGTGTGTCTAATATGCCCCACTGTTTTGAAAATTAAACCAGAAGATCCTTCACAAAGGCCATTTTATTCTACAGTAGGATGAATAGGCTGCAATTTGATTGTATTGCAACAAAAGTCCATCACTAGCCACATTTCTCAACTGGATGTGGCTGTTAGGCATGAGAGGGAAGCTGCCATTGACACCTTTGGGTGGTGCAATTTTAGAGCTAAATTTAAAAAGTAAAAAGGTATGCAAGGGCAACTACCGTATAGCTTTCAGCATTTAGCATAACACAAAACATTTAACATCACATGTAGGTTGTTTCAAATAGCCACAATATAGGTGAACTGAAAATAACAGTAGGTTACTACTAATATATAATTATCCAGGTCTTCTTTTACCCTACATAAAATCCTAAACAGGTTTAGAAATTTCTGTATCAGCTCACCTTTCTTAATATTAAGTTGCCTCTCATTCTTTCTTAACACATGCCACTTTTTGCAGAAGGGCCTGAGATTCTTGTTCATTTCAATTCTTGCTTTATTTTCTGAATCTATATAGCTGTCCCATAATATAAGTTCTCTGGGTAGCTCACCATATAGATACAATTAAAATACAGCGTAAGACGATGCAAAGTATTATTGTACAAGCAAACAGAATGGAAGCAACTTGAAAGGCTTTTGAATTTAACAACAGTGCATCAGTAACATGATTTCATTTCCTGGAAGTCAAAAAGCCTATTTGGGATTTAAGTGGCATGTAAATGAAGTTGTTGTTGTTGCTGCTATTGTTTGTTTGTGATGGCAGTTTCCAGCCCATGGGGTTGTATAGTGGAGGGTCTGGGTCAGTTGTTCTGCTACTTAGGAAACTGGCTTAAGCTGGAAACTTGCTATGAAAATAAGATTCTACAAGAACTTTGTAGAAAAGAAAAAGTATTAAGAAATGTGAATATAGAACACTTTAAAACAGGCTGTGAAAACTGCTGGTTGGTTTCCTGGAAAACAACTGCAAACATCTCACTCACACAAGCAGAGAATTGTCTTCCATAGAAGCAGCTGTTATGTCAAAGCACTGGTTGTCTAACAAGTTGCACAAGACACCAATTATGATCCTTCCTGAACTGGAAAATTGGCCACCTTGTGCTCTTTTTGCTCCCAACAACAACAGAGGAGACACAGATGACTGAGAAGTAGGACATTGGAGGAGAGGGGGAGAAAGCTAATATAGAATAAGGAAAATGGATGAAATGTCCATTTTTCTTTTAACTAGCTGTAAAAACAAAACAATGGTGTGATTGCAATTAATATGCCTGGTTTTATGTAAATATCAGCTGTAAGTCTCTGGATCAGGATCTGGAGAACAATGCTCAGGGAGGGAAAGTTCCCTTCATTGCAACCTGCCTCTGCCATGTAGGCCATTAAACTTTTACTCCTAGATGTCTGCCCTTGGACTATCTCCATGCTAGCACAGCCATGTACTTTGGCAGGCTGAGGATAACTTGGCAATTTTGAATGCGTCTCGTTACATAGCAAGCATTCCTGGTGTTGGTGTTGTCCTCTGTAATCATGAATACAACACTTGCTGATCATTTCAAAATTATTTAAAGAGGGGGAAAAGAGCTTAAGTAGATAGCATTTTCTTGTTGAACTTTTGAGCACCTAGGATTGAAGAAATTCAAATTGAGACCTCCGGATTCAGGCCATTAGTTGTATTCAGGCATTATTGTCCTGAGAGGAAGCAAAAGTATGGGGGGGGGGGTTTTCCAGGATTCCTCCCAGACCATTCAAGGGAATTTCTTCAGTCTGGAGCCATGTATATCCATGTATTGGAAGCCACCCAGAAAACGTTGTGTGATGGGATGGCATACAAATACTGAAAATCAACCAATTAGGAGGCTTAAACTCACACCTGCCTTCAACTGAAAGGATGGGAAGTGAAGATATTTGGTTCTTCTGACTCAGTAGCTGCAATGATAAGAGATTTGTTGGAGCAGTATTGGATTCTTGTATGCATAGATACTTGTTTAGGTTGGGATCAACATGATGATAACTTGAGTTCATGTACAGCCTTATTATTATTATTATTATTATTATTATTATTATTATTATTATTTTGTAAAAACACAATACATCTCTGATGCTTTCTCTGTCCTCCAAAGGAAACTATTCTTACAGAGGCCATTTTATTTTGCTGTACCTTGAACTTCAGAACAGAACTCCATTTGCTACACAAACCTTTTCAAGGGACATTCTGTTCTTTCTAAAATCTGCTACCAACTGCTTGTAGATTAAACTAATCATTTCAACCCAGTCATCACAATCCTTCCTGCTATGACCTTTTTATCATGATATGCAGATCTTTTCGAGCTTTTTCCTGGTTTCCAAATTAATCAGAAACTGGGTTGCTTTCCTTTTAATTGCAATCATTATGAATATCTGTCAAGCGTTTTTCTTGTGTTCAACTTTACAGGTGATACAGACCCATATATTGAAACCATTTAACATCCCAAGCAGCTTGAAATCTGGTCAGCGCTGATGAACAATGGGGAAGAAGAATAATGACTATCCCCACTTCAAAGAGGTATCAACATCTATTCTTGCCACTGTGTTTTTAAAAGAATTTGGCTGGCTGGCTTCCTTGCTTGATGGAAATGCCAGATTTGTTCCTGCTGATACTTATTTAACTTTAAGGTTTTGTTTTGTTTTGTTTTAAAAAAGGCTATAAGATTCATTAGAAGTTTTAAGTTAAAACATTCAAGTGAAATTATCTATTAAGCAATTACATGAAATTGTTTTAAAAAACACCCACGATGCGCCAAAGAGGAAGCTGCAGCCCACTGAAGAGGCACGCAAACCCATCAGCCACCTCTCTCATGGCTGCTTCCCCTTTTTCCCTGAGGGCATAGGCACTGTTCAGTTTGTAATAGAGTGGAAGATTTTTTATCTGAGCTGTGAAGTCCAGCCACCTACCAGCCCTTTATTTATTATTATTGGGGAGGAGAGGGTACAGTACAATGCTGTTCCCCTTGTTCAGATTCTGTGGTAAACTAGAGGGGAGTGTTGAAGTAGCCACCTTGGTGGATGTCACTCTGCATCTCCATCTTCCAAAACCTCTCAGGCTTCTGCAAAGAGCTACGAAAGGGCCTCCCCAGCTCTCAGCTAGGCAAATGTCTGTTGTTGCTGTTTTGTAGGAGTGAGACATGGCAGTGCACGGCAGGAGACGCCATTTTCTGGTTTCCCTCAGGCAGCAAAAGGTCTCGGGTCGGTCCTGCATGAGGGCTAGTTGGCTGAAGAGATCCTTGAAAGAGGGAAAGGGTAGATAGCCTCAAGGTCTTTAGGAAGCTACTTTCTGAAGACAGGTGAAATTTCCAAGAGACCATGTTGGGGAAAAAAGGAAAAGAAAACCACAGAGTCTTCAGATTGCAGGGATTAAAGGAAAACCTTGAAGAACAAAGGAACCAATCCAAAAATCTATGGCAGGGTTTGATAGGTTGCCTGGATTGGCTATCTTCTGTGATAAGTATGAACCAGACTACAGTAAGGTCCAGTGTTTTGAACACCAGCCCTTACAGTAATGAAACATGATGGGATTTGCTCATCATTCAACGACAAGGGTTTTTTTAAAAAAAATAAAAAAGACTGTCACGCTGCAGCTAAAATTACAATAATTCTTTTAATGACAGGATAGCTATCAGCCCTCTCCAACACTGCTAATGACTACGAGTTGCTACTCTTGTACTACATGCAATACCCCTTGGGCCCATATAGCATTCAGCAGCAGCAAGTGCCCCAATTATGATAAACTTTGTTTTCAGATATAATTCACCATTCACCACTGTTGAGGAGTGCAACTCGCGAAGTGATGCTTCTTCAGGCTCCTTTTACCAAAGGAAAATGGGGAAATGGTGGTGGAGGAAAGCAGTCTTCTATTTAAATGAGTAAGAAATAGAGATGAGCTCTCCAATTAATCATTTCAGTTCATATGTTCTTTAGTGTTCAAACTGGGTGAAATCACAACAGTGACAGACACTGTAAGCCATGGATGGGAGACCTGAGGCTGTCTTGATGCTGCTGGATGTCAACTCACATACAGTGTTCTGGGCCCAGGAAATCTTGCTGGTATTCCTGGATGGGAGTGACGAGAATATGTACATTATCCAAAAAAAGTTTGATAGGTAAAGAGAGGCTGGTTCTCAAATGGAATGTCCCACTTTTCCTTTGGACGTCTCTATTTTCATCAGAGAACTGTTGGAAGGTATGGTAGGACATCCCTATTTTTCATCGGAGAAATGTTGGAGGTATGTTTTCATGAGAACCATGAATTTTCCTTGGTAGGATATAGATCCTGGGCCACCACAGACAAATGGATACAGCCGTTTAAAATACCATTTTCTTTCCCATTGTGGTGAATTGGATCAGGATTAAACAGCAGTTTTTCCTGGGGAAAGTGGTGGGACCAAAAAAATACCCCACCCTACTTTCAGACCCGTGCCTAGCAATCCCGGACGTGTGCTTAGAATCATGGCACAAATAGAAGTGTGGATGAGCCCTCAGTTGTACAATTAGTCTGCAGCAAAAATAAATAAACTGTCCTTATGTGGTTCTTCTGTCCTTATGTGGTCAATGTAATTCGAGACCAGATGGCTTTTGCAATTTAAGTGTCATGAAGAGAAAGGACTTTGGGTGGCTTTTAAACTTTCACATCCAACTTGACTACATGTCGTACATTCTGTTCTTCTGATTCTACAGTATTTTTTTGCACTTTTCTCAGAAGCGTTCTTCACAGCCTTTTCCCCCTTTATTGCTTTGCTGCTGCTGCTTGACTGCTTTTAAGCAGGGCTCCTAATTGAATCTGGTTCCTAAATCAACAGCAAAGGCTCATATTCTAAGCAATGTCCCACAGAATGGTAGAAGACAGCTTTGGAAATGTGCAGTACAACACAGCTGCTTAAAGTGACCTAAAATTCCAAATTGGTACCGCAGTATGTCTAAATATTATTTATTTAAAATGAGACTAGGTAACCTCAGACTCAGGGCCTGAATATGGCCTTCCAGGCCTCTGTATCTGGTCAGTAGTGTTCCCAAGCCACACTTCTCACTGGTCCTGCCTCACACCTCAAATATTTTTGCCTGGCTGGAATGTGTCCTTGAACTCTGCTTGTTTGGATGGAGGACAGAAAGAGGTGCATATACAGCCTTGTGCGAATTAATTGAAACAAACAATGAATTTAGTATTTTATTGTACAAAAGTAACATGTACATGTACAAAACTCACATATACGTACATTAGTAATGGATATGACCTCTGCTATTTTTAAGCAGCATTTGACCATGGTTTGGCATGGAGTCTACTAGTTTCGAACATTCATTGTTGATTTTTGGATTCCTGTACCACACTTGAATCAGCGCCTGAATGGGCTTTTCCATAGTTGTATAGTCTACAACACAGAGGCAACTTTTGCATGCAGCCCACAAATTCTTTTCTCCACTGGTCTTTTGTCCATTCCTTGTACTTTTTTGCCCATTTATACCGCTTTTCTAAATAAAAGCTATTTATTGACAGGTCTTTTGGCTTTTGGCTTTTCATCTGACCGCAGTAAGGAGCCTGCAAACTGTAGAGGAACTGATTTGGATTGCTTTCTCCTTCAAATCCATATTCAATGTGACACTCGTCTTGTGAGGATCCTTTTTGCTTTGTCAAAGCAAGAAAGCGTCATCTCTAGGAGTTGTTTTCTTCTCACGACCACACTTTCCTTTACGTTTAGGAGAAACCGATCCGGTTTCCTGCTTCAGCTTGATAACACGGCTGACAGTTGCTAAACTCACACCAACCACTGAAGCAATCTCTCGATACGTCTTAGCTGTGTGTTCGTGCTGTGTGTTCGTTCTTCATACATTTCCTAGGTGTCACATCCATCTCGAACAGCAGTTGAATCAAAAGCTGATGCAATACAGTAGCTGCTGACATAACGATTGCATCATTAAAACATAAAAAATGATCAAACTGACTTTTTGTGTTTGCTTTGAGTACAGAATTACGAGTAAGATAGAAAATATGCTTTGTTTCAATTAATTTGCACAAGGATGTAGAAACTAGCCTAGTGCACAAGGGTAAAAATTTGCACAAAGCACGAATGGAAGCAAAACTTGGTAACAGTGAGTTTGTGGTTTGTTTGGAGTGAGACAAACCACAAACCTGGTTTCACATGTAATTAGTCAAAGCTTGATTTAGGACCTGGTAGCATGGCAGGGATGTGGGTGGCGCTGTGGTCTAAACCACAGAGCCTAGGGCTTGCCAATCGGAAGGTCAGCAGTTCGAATCCCCGCGACGGGGTGAGGTCCCATTGCTTGGTCCCTGCTTCTGCCCACCTAGCAGTTCGAAAGCATGTCAAAGTGATAGTAGCTCCAGCGGGAAGGTAAACAGCATTTTGTGTGCTGCTCTGGTTCGCCAGAAGCAGCTTAGTCATGTTGGCCACATGACCCGGAAGCTGTCTGCGGACAGATGCCAGCTCCCTCAGCCTATAGAGCGAGATGAGCATGCAACCCCAGAGTCGTCCACGACTGGACCTAACGGTCAGGGGTACCTTTACCTTTACCTTTAGCATGGCAGTAGCAGAACTGATGGAGGAATGACTTTCTAAATGTGTAAATTGAGTATGTGAAATTGCCTTACACGGAATCAGATGTTTGGTTTTTCTGGCCCAGAACATGTCTGTCTAACAGGCAACAGTAGTCCAGGACCTGGAGGTCTCTGACCTTCAGCTGAAGGAATCTTCTGCACTTGATGAATGTGCTCTACAACTGCACTACGGTCCCCTGTTGGTACTACAGTATATAAACAGATAGAACACCAACTATAGCAAGCAGAGACTGGTGCAGTTATGTCAAGATCTGTGAGACTAAAGTATTGTCAGCAGCACTTCCATGGGCCAAGAGTGTGCAAAGAAGACAGTTGCGTGTAATTCTATTATTGGGCCACTTATGCACTGCTAGCTTTTCAAGAGGGTTCACTGCATCTCTGTAACACTTTTGCCCATTGAATAAATAAATAAATGCAGCTGCCCTGTGGTGGCACTGTTGATAATGTCACTTTGTTATCTTGGATGTGGCTTAAAATAAACGGCTGCCTGGATTTTTCAACAGAGCATCAAGGGAAGCAGTGGCTTTGCACCTCCTATAAATAAAAGCAGCTCTGTCTCAGGAGTGAGGACTGCCAAGAAACACAACATGCACCTCCCTCCTCACACTAGATATGGGGACCAAGGACCGACTTTGTGCAAACGCAAAGTAGCTTGCAGTGATGTTGAATCCTCTGCCAGTGGGACTATACATGCTATTAATTTTGAATCATAATTCATGGATTTGAACCATGATCCCAATCACACTTACTGGAGGAAGACATGCTGGAATAAATGGGACTTTCTTTTAAATGTGTTCTGACTTATTCACAACTTGTGCTGGCATTACTATTTTAATTTCCTGTTTGTGCATGATGACACCATGCGCATGTGCCATATGCCTCAAAAGGCAACAGTGGGAATGAAGCTATTTTTCTAGAAGAGTGCCAGTGTTGTCTATCAC